GCCTAAGTTGTTCCCCCTCCCAATACGTCCGATACTCTGGGTTCCTTAAGCTCTCGCGTTTGGTGACCCAAAAGGGAGTTTCCACAACCATATCCTACTCAATGGACTTTAATTACACACATTTCCTGACGAAGCGAGATCGCAGTTGGGCTTATACAGACGCACGTGTATATTGCAAACTCCGCTGCCGGACTGGCTGTCACACACAGGCGCATGCGCAGGCCGACCGCTCAGATCTTATCTTGTCACGCGGATAAGTCGATGATAGGCGCCGCTGTCCGTGCATCGGTCTATTCCGTATGCATGCAATTATTCTCCTTATGCAAACATCATCATTCCAAGTGAGATCCAAGCGTTACATACATATCCATACCATCATGCCACAAAGAAGCGATTGTCCAACATCAATGACCAATGCATCAGATCATTCCTGCAATCATGCATGAACTAAGACCAAGTGGTCAGGCAAGACATGCGCGCCGAGCGTATTCGGCCAGATCCGGGAGAACCGAAAATTCGCGGATCGATGTGCACGCAGTACAGATGGGTACTAGAAAGTGACAAAATTTGAATTAAGCTAACGCTATTGAACAAAACAAAATTGGAAATAAAAAACAACTCGAGAAAAGAGGCACGAGTTCGTTCATCAGCATGCATACATACATTTGAAATAGAGAATCCGAGTTGATTTACAAAGAAATCAGAAACTGCCGCAACAAAATTGGCCACGTTGGAGTTAAAATTACACAGAAGGTGGGAAGAAAAGCATTGTTCCACCGTATCCCCGTTCCTCTCTCTCTCTTTCTCTACACCTTTCTGGTGCGGGCAGTTCGTCGCCCCGCACCTCCAAACCATACAGAGCCGTCACCCAGCTTGGCCCGAGCATGCAAGCCAGGCTCCCCCGCGTGCCACAGTCCCTCGCGGCCACGCGTCAAGTTCCGTTAACCCCGCATACTCAGCACCAGCTCGTCGGATCTCCCCACTCTCTACTCACCGTCTTTCTGCTCGTTAGCCGATCCTCTCGACCACGCTAACTCCCAAGTAGATTAGAGAGCCAATTAATCGCGCTTGCAGAATTTATAGCTTGTGCATCAGCGCGCAATAATCGGGATTGCCAAAGAAGGATAGGAGAAAGAAAGGAGGAAGTGCCTACGGCTGCATGGCTGGGCCGCGGTGTGGGGGACGTAGCCTCACTCCACACTTCGATCCAGCCATGTACCGATCCGGCCAATGAGATAGAGAAGAGAGAGAGCACGCAGCGACGTGGGAAAGAATATCAAGGAAGGGGAAGATTACAGTTACATCTGCGTAGGCAAAGAAAGAGCAAGAAGAGATTACAATTGAGATTGGAATTTAGGCGCGGCGGGAACAGAGCGCAGGCCCAGGTGCAGCAAAGTGCGCGCAATCTGGAAGCGATGTGCTGTTACAGGCAAAAATTACGAGACACCCAATTTCCTAGTCTAATTAAGGTCCTAATTGCAAAAAGAAATTCCGAGAATCCGCGCGGGCTCATCACCAATTCAAAAAAAATTCCGAAGGAGTTTCCCGCGCGATTGCCTCGCCAAAAAGATGGACTTCTGTCAAAAAAGAAAGAAAAAGGACATAGCGGACATTATTTCCCTGCGCTCACTAAGGCGCGGGCCAACTACCCCGAAGTTCATAACCCCCACCTCCCTTTTGTCGAGGGACCAAGAAGAAAACGTCGAAAAACAAAGAAGGAGGCAATTTATCCCCGATCCCTTCTATGTACCCCCAATCCCGGTTGCGCAGAAGATAGCGCTTATAAGAAAAAGAGCTCGTCACAGGGCAAGCACATGCTACATCTAGCATCATGTGAATAGAGGAGATTCAAGATCCGACTATAGTCTTACCTGGAAAAACGCAGGGGAAATCAAACCTGTTTATGCCACTAGATACCATAACTCAAAACTGCACCAACGTCAATACCACAAGTGACAACACAGGTGTATGATTCTCCTGTCTCAATCATGAACGTCCAACGGTCTGTAGACTAAGATATTCGAATGGAACTAACCTAATTCGAACCTCTCTTCTAGGAAAGAACAGGAGGGGTAAACCCGAAAACTCCGGCAGAATCTGAAGCCTTAACATTCTATTACATCCTCGTCTAACTTACAGAACTGTGAAACGTGAACCCCTCTTCCTGCTGCTGCTGTTGGTCCGCTGCTGGTATAGCTAAAGTCAGAGCCAAGCCATACCTTACTCCTTAAACAGTGGTTCTTGTTTGGAGGGGCACTGCCTCTCCATAATCCTTAAGAAGTATTGAAAGGTGCGTTCAAATTTTCAATTTAGCATGTTCTTGGCATGGCCAGGCAGAGAAGCATCGATTACCAATAAGAAGTATTGTTGATCCGACCCCTCGCGCGGCCCCTGGCTTCAAAATATAAACGAATCTACCCTGAAGCTAGGTCAGATACATGACTTTTATCTGGTTCATCTTCTTGTCCATCTTCCATCCGTTATGAAGCATGCCCAGATAATGCCGAGCGAACAGAATCTAGCGCTATGAATAGAATCAGATCTTCCTTGCTGCATACTGAAAACAGAAAAGTGCCATGTTTTTTCTTCCCAAAAAAAAAAAAAAACTGCTTTTGCATCAGGAGAGTTAGTTTTTGAATTTCTAAAATTTGAAGGAGTCAAAAAAAATAAAAATTTGCTCGATGTAGATCTCGGAAAGATCTACAACATCATATCTTTTGTTTTTTGTTTTGAGAATGTTTGAACCCTACAAAAATTCCTGAAAGTCGCAGACGCACCCCAACCTCGGCCGGCGGGGCGGTGGTCAGGACTCGCAAGGAATGTGGGACTCCACCTGCAAATAGTTTTGCTGTGAAACTACCGGGACCTCTAAAGCTGCAATGAAAGATATAATTTTTGCCATGAAATTTTAGCCCCGACGATATTTTTGCTGTGAAACTACCGCGATGCGCTATTTTTGAAACTTACCCATAGATTACTTATAGGGAGATTAGGAAGGCCTGAATACTCGGTCTATACATCCGCAGGAGGGAGGCAGAAGTTGGTGGTATGTGGGCTGGAGGGAGTGTGTTAGTAGATTGGATCTGAGTTAGGCTCCAGTGGGCCTTACTACCAATAGTAGAAGATAGAATAGAGTACCCTCTCGGAATTTCAGCTCCACTGGCCGTGATCAGGCCGTTTGAGAAAGAGGCGATTGTACAATGGTGGGTAGTGCGGTAGTAGTAGTAGTAAGGGGTGGGTTGTAGCCTTGGATCTGCTGGGCCGGGAAAGGGCCGCAGGCAACGCCTGTAAGCTAAGCTGGAAGACGCTTCCAGCAACCTGCCCACATGCACCGTGCTGTTTAGTTTTCCACAACTGTGTGACGCCAAAAAAAAAGGCGGGAAACAAACCTTGAATCATCCTCGTATTTGATTTCATGAATCTAGTCGCTTTAGGATTCGAACTCAGGTCTTTTTTTCAACAGTTCATGGGTGTACCACGTCCTATTCCTCCTCTTCGACAGACCAGATCCTTGGGGGCCTCGAAGTGTCTCTGACAAAGAAAACCTGGCCTTACCTTCCCCATGGATTCACTGAAGAGGAAAATCTCCATGTGGTTTACGTATACTACAACGCCCCTGCCTCTCCCTCTCTTCCCAACATGACTTCAACAGGACACCCTAACCAATCACAAAACTGCAGGCCCCCTGGCTCCACTTCCAAAAAGGCGGGCTGTGTAATCCAACCGTCGGTTTGTGAGATGATCTACGGTTCACACTGGTCCCACAGTCACACAGTCACACAGTTAGTAAAAAACTAAACTACACAGGTGCATGGGTGTAATCCAACCGTCGGTTTGTGAGATGATCTAAGGTTCACACTGGTCCCACAGTCACACAGTTAGTAGAAAACTACACACGTGCATGACTTCCAAAAAAGCGGGCTGTGTAATCCAACCGTCCGTTTGTGAGATGATATACGGTTCGCAGTGGTCCCACAGTCACACAGGTAGTAGAAACTGGACTACACGGGTGCATGTGGTCGAGGCTCACATGCACCCGTGTAGTTTAGTTGTCTATTACCTGTGTGACTGTGGCACCACTGCGAACCGTAGATCATGGGACGGTTGGATTGCACATCCCATCTACTACCTCTGTGACTGTGGGACCAGTGGGAACCCTAGATCGTCTCACAAACGGACTGTTGGATTACACATCCCACAGTTTTGCAAGGGAAGCCAGCCGCCTACCGTTTTGTGATTCGTTGGGGCATCACGTTGGGGGTCATACAAGGAAGGGAGGGAGAGGCAAGGGAATTGTAATAGGAGGAATAGGACGTGGTACACCATGCACTGTTGAAAGGCAGACCCTGCAGGAATAAATGAATGAAACCAAATAGGAGGATGATTCAATTGAAAGGCAGACCCTGCAGGAATAGATGAATGAAACCAAATAGGAGTGGATGATTCAACGTTCGTTTCCCGCCTTCTCGCGCCGCGCCAGACTGTTGTAGAAAGCCGCGCCAGACTGTTGTAGAAAGCCGCGCCAGACTGTTGTAGAAAGCCGCGCCAGACTGTTGTAGAAAACTGAAGTGCACGGAGCATGGAGCATGTGGGCCGAGGGAGTAATGTAGAGGTCCCCCGGCCTCTGTTTTGATTTATGAAATGAAATTTGGATTTTGCGGAAAAAAAAAAGAAAACACAGACGGGCTTCCGACATCTCCCATCGAATCGGTCACTGTTAGTCATTTGCAACCTCTGCACACCGTTAAATCCTGATGGAACCCACAAGGTTCAAACCCATTCCAAGCCAATATAAATGAAAAGGAAACAGAGACGAACAAAACAGGAGGGAAAAAGGGATGTGTTTTCTCTTAAGCGCACCTTTCAGAAAGCCCCACCCCTAACCCGCATTTACCATTCCGTCGAAGTTCTCCCTCTACTAATCGTCACCTGTGTTCTTTTTCTAGGTGTCCCCCATCTCAATCCTTTTTTACACGCTTCACATTAGGGCATAGGCTTTCAGACGGGGCATGTCGTCGAATGCCACCTATGCCGACTCTCTCTCTCACTACTCTCTCTCTCTCTCTCTCTCTCTCTCCCTCCCTCAGATATCGTTCTAGCCGACCCATCTGTGAAGATCCCCTCTTGGCGATCCAGCTCAATATGCCTCCTAGTAGCAACAGAGCGTGAAGGACTTCCGCCCTCACAACCCTCTATCGCGGCACAAGAGCGCCGGGAAACTCGCCTCTCCACGACTGTGCGAGGTCAGCGGACCTTCCCATTAGCTGATGTCCCTCCTTATTGTCGATAACCTACTCCCCGCTCTCACCCTGCTACACGGGCTCTTTCCTGCACTGCCGTCTGTATGAGCCTGGCCGTTTGGACCCATCCACGGACGTAAGGTTCGTCTGGTCCGTCTTCTCCTTCTAACAGCAGACCATCAAGAGATGGGATTTCTCTGGCAACGCTATCGTGCATCTTATCCACACGCGAACCTGCGTATACGATCCGAGTGGTTTGAGCTGCTTCAAAAGACACTTCTGTAGCAATCCAGCTTCTGATGAAAGAAACCATCAACCGCAAGTAGGTCGTGCGCTCGGACCGCGGCAGCCGCGGCAATGACGTCGACGTCGTGTACTCCTCCCGTTTTGTCCATACAGGCTCGTAGGCAATAACTAGGTTGTCCTTCCAGTACGTCCGTCTGCCCACTGCTTGTCCAACTTTCGCCGCGCTCTCCACAGCGGATCGTATAATCTCCAACTGCTCCCTGCATCCCCGAATGCCACTTATGTCAGCTACGCAAGCTATCACGTTCAGACCCTTTCGCAGTGCCACCGACACTTTCCGCCCAACTTCCTCCGGGCAGTCCAAATCACGTCTCTGTCTCTTTCCTACGATGACATACTGAAAACCGTTTTTATTAAGGCAATCGGCATCAACATCTTTCCCTTCCTCCGCTTCCTTCTCCTCCTTGGCCACCCCAGTCATCGATTCCAGGTGGCTGCTACTCTCCTTCACCTCTTCTCCTGAAGCAGATGCATCGGAGACCCTGAAATTTTGAGCACAGAGCTTAATTTTCTGAAATTTGTGAACGATTTGTGCCCGCTTCTCCATCGTCTCCGCAAGAAACAAAAAATGCGGCGCTACCACGAACTCGCATAGATTCTCGTCAACGAGACGCTTGAGAACCAGGTCCGTCCCATCGTCGTAGAGGGTCATCCGATCGTTCGCAAGAAGGGCAAATTGCGTTTTACTATCGCAGTCCCAGCAATCAACCAATAAATATGGACGACGTTGACTTGCACACTCCTCCGGAAGCAAACGTCCAACCCTTTTCTTCAAGTCCTCGTAATACTCTGCCTTGAGGGACCTGCTTCGCCTTGCCGTCTGGGAAGAACACATGAAAAGCCACGCCAGCTTCTTTACGAGACGGAGTAGCTCGGAGGCCCGGTCTGCCTGATCAATCACAGCCTGAAGTCGGAGGAGAAGCTCGGAGGATCGGCCTGCCGGATCAATCGCAGCCAGGGTTCTCCAACCATTCAGTCCGAGGAGAAGCTCGGAGATCAGGTCTTGCCGATCAATCACAGCCTTCAGAGTGCTGAAAGCATTAAGTTCGAGGAGGTCTGGCTCATCGGCGCAGGCGGCGGATATGCCCGGGGCAGGCGGCGGCGGAGGATATGCCCGGCTCAATGGCGCTCCCATGTCCTCTTTGTGGGGCGGGAGCTGTGCCTTATCACTTCCTTCCTCGCCTTGTCTATCGTGCGGCGTACTGCTGTTGGCCTTGTTCCGTTCCCCGGCCTCTGGTCTCCCGCCATGCCCCCCCTGCTTTTGGACTGGTTCCGGTCCCCCTCTACTCCCTCGTCTCACAGACTTGATAAGACCCGTAATAGACCCTTTTTTGTACCAGTGTCCCTTCTTCTCGGGATGAATCGGCGGAGGCGTGTCGCAATCGCCAAGAGAAGAAAAATGGTCGACGTAGTGCTCTTGCCCCATGTCGAGACCTCCCCCTCCGCCCTCGTTCACGCTGGCTCTCGCTCCAGGCGTTAGGATGGCTGCACCTCGGGCGATGTCGTCATCGCCCAGATAGATAACGGCGCAATTTTCGTACCGACCAACCGAATTCAGCATGGCTCTCACGCACGGGATCCTGCACGAGCGGCCAGCAGCGACAAGAACTGTTACCTTCCGAGATCCAGCACAAGTTCGCCGGGCTTCATCGAATGCCTCCCTCAAAATATTCTCGCACGCATTGAAGTCGTCCTTGCACCACAGCTCAAATTCTTTGCGTGTCAGATGAGGAAATCGAGTGCCATGACCGGAGGGCCCAAAGCACACGTCGACTTGGGCTGTCTCGTCGGAAGAGAGCTGCTCTTTGATTTCCCTGTATTTTCTCTTCAGTTGCCATCCACTAAGACACCTTTTCTTGCGGCACCGCGCATCCACACCCGCTCTTATCCTCCCCTCGAATACTCTCCCGCCTTTCGTCATGTCGCTTGCAAACGTTTGGACAACTTCCACGTTGGAGCCTCGAATATCCGCCCAGGCAACATCCAGGTGGGAGTCGCCGAGATCAAACAGAACCGCTCTTTCCGCCACTGCATCGGTCGATCCCCTCCTGTAATCGAAGCAGAAAGCTGTAGCCGCGGCGATAAGATCCTCCTTGAAGGAGACCTGAAGTCCAGCATGCTTCGCCGCCGAGTTAATGGCAGACTTGTGCGTTGGCGTATAGTATTTCGGTACGGTGATGACTGCAGCTTTCACAGTGACGACTTCAGCTTCTGCACGAGTCTCGAGAAAATTCTCAGCATCCCTTTTGATCCTCGACAGCAGTAGCGACAACAACACTTCAACGGGAACACGCCTACCCGATTGCGGACTGATCGCCAAGAACCCGGACGATTCTTCTGTGAACGACAGACTTGCGAGGTCATCGTTCTCACCCATGGCATCCGCACACTTCCCCCCAATCGCGCGCTTCAAATCAAAGAAGAAGTCTGCGTCGTGCGCGTCCTGGCGATTGGCGTATTCGCCAACAAGGCAATGGTTCTTCCCAAGTGCAACGAGGGCCGGAGTTAACGTCTTCAAATACTCGTTCGGGATGGGGAAGCATTCCCCAACTTCGTCGATATAGACCGCTGCGCGAAGACTCGATGCCCCGACGTCTATGCCAATCCAAACGCCATCTTCCCCATGAGGGCTATTTCCGGCGGCGGCGCGGCCCCTCTCTGTCCACTCCTGCTCCATAACTACTTTGACTCGTGACTAGACTCGACAGGACTTAGTGGTGACCTCAACCTCGAGTAGACTCTACTCGAAAGACGGGCGGATTTAGGGATTAGCGACGTGCTTCATACCCTGCCTCGTCCCAGTGAATCAGTGATCTCTAGAGAACTACGGAGACTTGTCTCCGCGCTTGCCTGGTCCGACTGCACTCACACTAGTACGTTCTCGGATGCACATGACCGCTTTTCCGACCACGCCTGCATGCACCTGACCGCTACTTCGTCCACAGAGAACTTGAAAAAGTCGTACTGTGATTATGCACTCAGAATGTGGACTGCGGGCCCAACATCGGAAGGCGAGACGAGCAGAACATTGACGGACGAGATCGGGCGGAGCGGATGGAATATATGAGCGCGTGCTCGAATCGCAAGGTTATGTTTTCGGCGTCCTCCGATAGCAGCACACGATTTCAACTCGCAGCACACGATTTCAACTCGTGACGACAACATTCCCCATTCCCCGGCATAGCCAAGCGTGACTCGTGAATCCAGCGGTTCAAAGTGAGCTACGCGCAACGCCCGATTTCGGTGTCGCCTTCGAAAGCGGGGACGACATTCCCCGCGATTGGGCCTCGCTGCACCACTGCAACATCGAGGTCCACCACTGCAACATTCTGATTGGAATTTGATAGGTTCACAATTTTGGAGTTTGGCAAATGGAGCGGAGCGCGGGTGCCCATAAGGAACCACAACTCGTGACTCCAGCGGTTTGAAGCCGCGGACCAGGCAGCTACGCGGAACGGCCCGTGTCGGTGTCGCGTTCGGGAGAAGCGGAAAGTGGGTTATGCAAAGGCGCCGAAGGAGAAAGTGGATCTACGGCTGAATCTTGATGAGAGAGACATGGTTTTCATTCAAATGCCAACCTCTGCTCCTGACTCAGAAGGGAAAAAAAGAAGAAAGAGAGTTCGATGAGCGCGACAGCGTTGGGTTTGTGTCGTTGAGAATGCGAGGGAAGCATGGGGTTGGGGTAGGAGAAAGACTTTCCCTACGACTATTGGCTTCATCCCACCCCTCTTCAAACCGATCTGCTTCGCGGAAAGTAACTCTCCCTGGTCGAAATTCTAGAGAATTGGGGCCTCCCCACACCACTCCCGAATCGGAGAAGCTCTCAAGTCTTGAAACTCGTCGGATCCCGTTCAAGAGTGCCCTTCTCCACACTAGGCTCTCTAACCCGTCCCTCTTGAATTCCCAAATTGACAAAAGCGGCTTCCTGACAAGTGCAGTCTGGCATAAAACTCTTCTTTGCAGTCCACACAGACTGAACTCGGAGGTCAGCCCAAGGTCTCTCGAAGATGGCAATATGCAGGAGGGCACTGAGAGTGCTCTGGAGCCCGCTTCTCTGACAGCTCTTGAACTCACTTTCAGGAGCTGAATCCCAGAGCATATGTAGCCATCCTCACACTCAGAAAAACATCTATTTCAAGAAAGGTGTGTGAGAGATAGAGAGAGATGGCAAGCTGTGGGGAGGGCGCAGTATACTGTAATGAAACCTGCAGATTCTCAGTGGACTGTACAGTAGGCCGACGTGGGCCTCGCCTCGGTTGGGTCCTAGTTTAGGTCAGATTCGTAATTTCGTTTGGCTGAGGGCTAACCGAGAGACCTACCTGTAAGGAAATTCATGAGGGACATATCTGCAAATCTGGGAAAAATATCGGCCCAGTACTAACTCGAATTCCTACAGCTACCCTAACTGCGTATAGCAGGCCCGGGCTACCCCTAGGACAGACAGGCCCTAAGTGGCCTATGCTGATAGACGGTCCTATAGCCCATAGCCGGGTCCGGAAGAGGCTGAAAGGCCGAAGCAGAAACGGTACCGGTCGGTCAGTCAGTCCGGTCTAGGTCTAGTGTAGTCGATAGATAGGTTAGGCCCATCGGTTCAGGACTTTTGGCAGTGCATTTCTCGCGAAGCAGCGTTGGAGAAGCCAAGCAAGTTGGTGGCGGTGATGGTCTACAGGCGGCATCCTGAGACTCGCCGTTGACAGCAGCCATAGCCGGCCTAGTCTGAATCTGCCATAGCTGGGGCATCCTCAGCGCATCTACCCCTGGGGGTATCTGCGTCTGGCCGGGCTACATCGAGGCTCTGCACTGGTTGTTCGTGGGTGGTGGCAGCCATAGCTGCCTGTTCCTCCGTCAGAGTTGTCCACCGGCACTGAAGACTTCATCGCAGGACCTGTTCTTCATCAGGGTGGTTGGCGCTGGCCTCTGGGAGGCTGTTCTGATGTGGCGCTACTAACTGGGTGTAGGATAGAGAGTGAGTTGTGAAGTCTGAGAGTGGCGAGATACTGGAACAAACTCTGTTACGATAATTGTTTCAGTGGTTCATCATCGGTGTGAATTCCAATTGTGATCTTCATAGGTTATTTCTTGTGATTGGTTGTTGGGAGTTGTGTTAGAGAGTGAGAAACACGGTCTGTCTTCTCCCCATTTGTGCATGATTGTCTTCCGCTGCTTATTTTCACTGTGTACAGTTTGGACTATATCTCCTCTCTCCCCTTCTCGTATGCATGTATGGGCATGTGTGAGATTGTCTGTGTGTGAGTGGCGATAAAATTTGTCAGACAACCAAGTTCATAACAGTTGGTATCGGAGCGGGATTGGATTTGGAACACTGAGGGTTGAGCACATTGAGGCATCTTCTTCATCTGGCAACATACTGGCGAGAGTTTCACGGCGATTCATCTTCCCCAGTACTGAGTCAGCAGGGAAGAAGACTTTCAGCGGTGGATTCAGGTGTTCAGTGGTAGTACTAAGCAAGCGCACTGAGCCTGTCAGGGCGCTTGTCTAGAAGTGGCGAGTACAGGGCTAATTCGTCATAGCCAACCCTGAGGGTAGTACTGCGAATTACCCCAGAGTGGCGAATTACCCTTGAGGACATCAGGGAACCCTGAGCGGCATCATCCCTGGGTTGCGCTGAGGGAGATTGGTAGTCTGAATCAATCTCCTGAAGAGATAACCCCATCTGGGGCTATTTTTAGCACCTGCAACTACCAAGCACTGTGGCGAGATATTTCGAAGTTGGCATACAGGGCGCCACAGGACCAGATACAGGGTATCTAGGTGAAGGGGTGCAGCGCTACAGGATCTTGAGGAGGATCAACGAATTTGAAGGTGTTCTGTGCGTGGAAGTGGTAGGAGGAATATCTGGAGGAAATTGGCGATATAAGGGTATCATCAGCCATAGCCAGATCTTCATCATCTCCTGCAAGATTCTCTGGAAGTGAGTCCGTTCCATGCACCTACCTGTATTGCGATCCAGATGGTATTAGTTTAGTTAATTATAATGGTCTATCTATCTGTCAGTGACTGGATGTGAAAATCGCAGACTGCATGACAGCCATAGCCATCTCTCCCCTACCTCCCTCTACTCATTTCTCACCCTCTGCTGACTCTTTCTGATCCAAAATTGTTCTGTGACTGCTATACTGCATTGCGATTATTCGGGGATGCTCAAGCTGTGAATTCTGTACTGGAAAGGTAGTGATACAGTGAATTGCAGTTTTGCGCTAGGTCTATTTTAGCCTGTGCTATCTAGGGTCTGTTATAACTTCAATTTTGTCCGTCAGAATTCAGTTCTGCCAGTCCCCAATGAATCGCAATTGAAAAGTAGGCAATACTGCAGAATCGCACGGTTGGATTTACAGTATTTCACTGGATACAGTGAATGCTATACTTCGCCATACCCTACCCTAAGGTATGGCTGCCATAGTCATCAGGGTCTAAATTAGAGTCTGAGTCAGGATACAGGGTACCTTTCTGAATCGCTTGTTGTGGTTGATCTCTCTTGTCTGTACTAACCATGTTCTATCATTCCCACTGAATACTCTTGTGTTCTACTGGGTATTGGAAATCTAGTGGGTCTCTGGAAGAGTAGTGGGGTGACCCTACTAATTCCAGTGTGGTCCAGGGTCAGTAAAAGGAAATCGTGTGACTGATTTTGCTAGACTTACAGTCTGTCTGACACCTGACCCCAGGGACACCTTTCCAACTTAAACCGCTGATTGCCTATACACCCACCTATTCCAGTGTTGAGATATTGCAGCGATTCCAGGGTGTCTGAAGGAATTTAAGTATCGCTGCATCTCTGGTTGTTGTCTGTTTTATTTTGTTATTATTTTGAAAAAAAGAAAAATGTCTGATCAGGGAGCTGAGCAGCAACCACAGGTGGAAGTGGTGATGAAGGTAGAAGGTGAACAACCTTCAGTTTCCACAACTCCTCCACCTCTGACTGCTACTCAGCGGATGAAGAGGGAGTTGGAAGAACAGTTGCGGCAGCAGCAGGCCTAGCTTGCAGCTTTGGAATATTAGGAGGCAATTGAGCTAGAGGCTGCAACAGATCATTCCAGAAGAAAATATCTGTTGCAACAGCTAGACAAAGCGCTCACAGATGATCGTTGTGCCCAGATCACCAAATTTATGGCATAGATGATTCTCCTGGAACACAAGATCACGAGTTCACAATTCACGAACTGGGATGATCGCTTTGTGCGACTGGAGCGTCGGGTTGACGAACTGTCAGCTCAGCAGTCCAAGATCCTTGATTCTATTCAAACCTTGACTGCTCAGCTGACAGCCGCCAAGCTGATCACCCCTCAACTGCCTCTGCTGAGACCCAAATCCTCTCCTCCTTCTTCACCCCCTTCTACTCCCCCTGGTTCAGTACATTGTTCCCAGTCATCATCCCATTCCCAAAAGGCCTCAGCAAAGGCCACATATGTTGCTGTTATTGCAGGAAACTACAGAGGTCCCAAGATCCCTGCTCCCAACAAGTTTAGGGGCAATGACCCCAAGATCAATGTTGGGGACTGGGCTGCTGGGACCAGAGCCTACTTGAGGGGCTTTGTCTGTGCAGAACAGACCAAGGTGGCGATTGTTCTGGGACTGCTGGAAGGGCGCATTAAAGTGGGCCACCTCCACTTCCAGCAGTCTGCAGCAGTCCATGGAGGACGGGGCTTTTGGGCCTGGGGTGGACAAATTTCTGCAGGCCCTGGAGAACCGATTTGCAGACAAGGAGCGAGCCCGCAAGGTTGCTGGCAGAATTGCTCGCCTGGGACAGCAACGGTACACTGGGACTCTCCAGGCCTTGTTTGCTGAGTTTAAGCAACTCACCTCCACCCCTGGGTTGGTCATGTCTACCAATGATCTGC